AACAAGGAACCTGAGAGGGCACACACTGAAACTGGTTAAAGATAGAGTGATGACTCGGCTTAGAGCGTCCTCGTTCGCAACGAGAGTTGTGAATGATTGGANTCGAATACTGCGTCCAAGCTTGAAGCCCGTTTCTGATCCAGGACATGAAAACGCTAGAGACAGTGCAGCATAGCTTCACCAAGTGGTTTGCGGGTTTGAGACATCTATCTTACGAGAGGCCTCTCGAAGCGTTAGACCTTTTCTCATTAAGCAGGCGTATACCGCGAGGGGACTTAATCGAAGCGTACAAGATTTTGAGTGGTTTTATGGATGTACCAGATGGAACGCTCCTCAAGCTCAGTGAAACAAGGAACCTGAGAGGGCACACACTGAAACTGGTTAAAGATAGAGTGATGACTCGGCTTAGAGCGTCCTCGTTCGCAACGAGAGTTGTGAATGATTGGAATAGACTGCCGGATGAAGTCATCGCTGCCAAATCGACATCAGACTTCAAACGCAGACTTGACATGGTATGAACCAGGGTGTTCGAGGATGGCGGGGACCGAGTGAAACAGTTTGGATACGGCTGACTCGAGACCGCTATCCATTTATTACTAAACCTCCACCATCCATGTCTTCCTCTCATCTTTATTCACTCTCCTCCCAACCTCTCTAGAAGCTCTATGCTTAGCCCGTACTTATCTCTTACCTCTATTAGACATCTCTACTTCTAAATCACCTCTTAGTCCCGATGGGCGGTCTGGTAGTCCCATGAGTCTGCAAGTTGCAACACCATTCTTGACAATCCCCTCTGACTGGAGCCCTGTGAAGCGGGGTCTCTCCTGGTCGTTGTATGCTATTCGTTTAATTGAAGAAGAGTTTTTCTCTTTCTGTTGTCGTAGCACCAGGGGATCCACGGAGCCCATCGGTGCAAGAAGCTGGACAAATTGGCACCCCGACCTGACCTGACCTTGTAGGTCAGCTGGAGTTCCGCTTTGGGCTCGCTTTCTGCTAGAAGAACCAATTTCAGTGGTCTTGGAGAACTATCCTGAGGGTTATCCTAGGGGTTTTCCAAGCCTGAATACCGCTTTTACTTTGATCGATGCCGCTGGTTCCACCTCGTCGCCATCAAATAAGGTAACCATGTGCGACCA